CAGCGGGGGCCCTCGGTGGAGCTCCGGGGCCAAGGGGCGCGTGAGGGTTGTGCTCACGCGGGGGCGAGGAGCAGCGGGGGGGGAGGAGAGGGAAGGGACCAGGGAACTCCTCCTCCTCCTCCTCCTCCGCCTCCTCCTCCCTCCTCCTCCTCCTCCTCCTCCTCCTCCTCCTCCTCTCTCCTCCTCCTCCTCCCGCCTCCTCCTTCTCCTCCACCGCCTCCTCCTCCTCCTCCTCCTCCCCCTCCTCCTCCTCCTCATCCTCCTCCTCCTTCTCCTTTTTGACAGCAACGCCCAGGCCACAGATGAGTGCAGTGCACATGAAGGCCGTGACGAAAAACTCCACGATTACCCACATGAGCAGTGCGACGTGCTGCGGCTACCCGAACAGAGCACGCCAGCCCAGGACATGATTGAAGACATTTCTCCAAACCGCCAACAACGGAGAACTGGAATAAAGTACAACCCCACGAGGTGCAGAACGACTTGATCGCGGCAGCCACATGACAACTCACCAGGAAGCCCCGAACAAAGATCAAACACTGCCAGAGACGCACTGCAACACGTGGCAGAAGCCCAATACCCAGAACACCGCGGCAGACGAATAACCAAAATGAAACATAAGATCCACAAGCACACGCACACCAGAGCGATTGGCATCTCAGGAGAAGAGACGGCCCTCTCCAGGGTCGGGCGGCAGGACTCGCGGAACCCACTGCCCAGGAACGGGGCCTCCGACGATGACCTCTTCACCTGAATAGTCGTACCCTCCCCTGGCGGTGTTGGGAGATTCCGAAATCGGAGCTGATGACGACCGCATGCCGCCGTCAAGGCGCCGCCGCCTGCGCACAAAGGAGCGGGACGCGGCACCCAAGACCTCCCAAGAGCGCAGCTGCTTCTCGACCACGGAGATGTGCTCAACGTCCATGTCCATTGAGACCTCCACCGCGGTGGCATTGTCACCAAGGCCATCTTCACCACAAGGAACAGGAACGACTACATCTTTAAACTCACCACGACAAGAACTGACTCCATCAAGAGACCCATGATGAGCGGCAGCTCCAGACACAAAGGGCGCCGCGCATGCCCGAAGTGCTGAAAAGGAAGCCGCCACAACACATGGGGGCCTGGCTCCCAAGCGAGGCCCACGTTGCGCAGAGTTGAGCTCGGCAGGCGAGGCGGTGACGATGTCGATCCTCTCGGCAACCGAATGCAGGGCAACGTTCCGTCGAAGGACATCAGTGTGCTCCACGGGCTCGTCCAAGAGCAGTGCCTCCAGCGCAGGCGCCGCGGCCGCCAGCCGAGGACCCAGCTGAGGGCACCTGTCCGAACCCAGGGAATAAACCAGGTCGAAGTACTTCTTTTTCCAGCCCTCAGCTTCAGCACGGAAGTGATGGACCGCACGCTCAGCAACAGCAGCGGCGGCCTTCCGGGCAGACCGGCGAGCAGCTGAGGAGGAAGTCTTGCCGCCATCGAGGGCAGCATCCCGCGCCATCCGCCGCGCGCTGGAGCGAAGGGCCGCCGATAGGCCTTCGCCAGAAGCGGGCCCTTGAACCACCCGCGCGGGAGCTGGTTTGAGCCAAAATGGCTACGGACCTCCTCCTCCCCCTTCTCCCCAGCATCCTCATCCTCCTCCCTCCTCCTCCTCTTCCTCCTCCTCCTCTTCCTCCTCCTCCTTCCTCTCCCCTCCTCCTCCTCCTCCTCCTCCTCCTCCTCCTCCTCCTCCTCCTCCTCCTCCTCCTCCTCCTACTCCTACTCCTACTCCTCCTCCTCCTCCTCCTCCTCAGCATCATCATCCTCCTTCTCCTCCTCCTCGTCCCCCTCCCCTTCCCTCCTCGGGAAGAGGGGGAACGTTCGGGCGAGGGACAGGGGAGGGGGTGAGGAAATCGAGTGTAATCGAGCTCTGGGGGCATCAGGCTCGCTTGACTGCGTTAGACGCCTGGGCATCTCCTGACAACTCTCGCCGGTTGACAACATCAACATAGTAAACATTCCTTCGCACTGAGCACCTGTTTGAGAACTTGTGGGGCCATCGTACAGGCAGAGCAAGGGAAGGGACGAGGGAGGGGATGGCAAGGAGAAGAAGAGGCACCCTGACATCGTCTCGTTGTGAAAAAAACGACGAAGGGCTTCTGCTAATGTTCTGCCTCTGGGTGCCATCACCAGGCCCCAAGGACCGTCGACACACGACTCAGGATGAAAAGCCAGTCCCAGAGAAGGGGTGCAGACCTCTGGGGAGTCACGTTGTGAAAAAATCAAGACGGCGGATGTCTGGGGAGGGAGGGATGACGAGGAGGGAGAGATGGAGACGGATGGGTGGCTTGAAGAACGATTGCGTTGAGCCGGCCTGCTGGCTTCTGCCTCAGAGCCATGGACGGAGCAGTCCAAGCTAAATCGAATCAAACTCTGGTGGACAGTGGGACGATCCTCGCTCTAGCACTCAGGCACGGGCTGGTCGCAGCAGCAGCAGTGAAAAAAAGCAATATCGATTAGATCGTGATCTCCATCGTCACGTCGTTGATAATGTAAGGGGGATAGGGGGGAAGGGGGGGTTGACGAGGAAGAGGCAGGGAGGAGGAGAGGGAGGAGGGGGCGACGAAGAGAGAGAGAGAGAGGAGCAGGAAGAGGAGGAGGAGGAGGAGGAGGAGGAGGAGAAGGAGGACGCGAGGGCCTGCAGGGTCTCCGCAGCCGCCTAGGGCAACTGGGGAGCCTGGACAAGGAGGAGGAGGAGGAGGAGGAGGAGGTCCTCCTCCTCCTCCTCCCCCTCCTCATCCTCCTCCTCCTCGTTTCTGCTCCACCTCCTGGCCCTTCGAAGCCTCTGGAGGCCAGTCTGGAAGCACCGGAAACTCGGAGAGCGCACTGCGCGAGAAGACCCCGTGATGCCGAGCGGAAGCCCTGGAAACGGCCGCGCTCGGCAACAAAAAAAACGCGCGACAGCAGCTGCCGCCGGGTGGTGAGTGGCATGTTGGTCCTGGCTCCTCCTTCCTCCTCCCTCCTCCTCCTCCTCTTCCTCCTCCTCCTCTACCTCCTCCTCCTCCTCCTCCTCCTCCTCCTCCTCCTCCTCCTCCTCCTCCTCCTCCTCCTCCTCGTCCGCCTCCTCCTCCTCCTCCTCCTCCTCCTCCTCCTCCTCCTCCTCCTCCTCCTCCTCCTCTACACCTTAGGCGATGCTTAAGAAAACCTAAGTTTTCGTCCAGACTCTCGATTATTCTTAACTTTTCAACGTAAATCCCAAGATTTTGATAGAAGTTCTGGGTTTTTGTTCCAGTTCTGAGACTCTGAATTTCTTAACCCATGGTTTCTTAAGCATTTCGCAGGGTGTACGGGGCGTGAAAACGACCACAGGTACTGCTTTTCTTTTGTTGCCGCCTTCCAGCCCGCAGAAACAAAGCAGTGGCTGTGGTCATTTTCGTTGAGCCTGGCACCAGGGAAATGACCACAACCAGTACTTCTTTTTCGGCCGGCTGGAAGGCGGCGCAAACAAGAAGCAGTGGCTGTGGTCATTTTCCCGTCCCGCATCCTCTTCCTCCTCCTCCTCCTCCTCCTCCTCCTCCTCCTCCTCCTCCTCCTCCTCCTCCTCCTCCTGTCCCTGGGCCAGGAAACCACTGGTCGAGGCCGAAGGCGCCCCAGAGCCGGGCGAGGCTATGTTTGTGGCGCCGCCCGGATGCTCGACGCTGCGCCACGCCGTGGTAAAAGCCGCCACCGCGCCGAGAGGCACGAGGTGGAGTTACCGTAGGGGCCCGACCGCAGGAGACCTTCCACAAGAAACCCACCCCTGAGACCCCAGGACGTCCCCTGATGTCTGGCGAGGGAACGCCACGCTCTCCATCGCAAGCGCATCGGAGCCCAAGAAACCCAGGGAAACCCGGAGGCAAGCGGGGTGCTTCTTGGCATGGGCCTCCGTTTTAAAGTTGGATCGAGGAGGGTACAAGCCCAATCAAAACTCAGCTGGAATGCAGACTTCCGCTCACTCCTGATGTTTGTGTCGTTGTTTCTCGTTCTCTCTCTATCTCTCTCTCCCTCTCTCTCTCTCTCTCACTTTCTGGCTGTCCCTCTTGCGAGCTGTCTCTCTCTCTCTCTCTCTTTTTCTCGCTGTCCCTCTTGCGAGCTGCGGCCCTGTCGCTGCCCTTGATGGCCGACGCTCATGCCTGCCATCCGCGCTCCTGGTACCAGATGTCCCCGCTGGCTGGCGGCGCGCACAAGGGGGTGGCTTTGTCGGGCATGTCCTCCCACATGCGGATTTGGGAGAAAAACAGGCAGCAGTCAAACAAAACCAAACAGAAGCAAAGAGATAGTCGAACAACCATCCCCAGGCTTGTTTCTTGACTCACCTTGAACACTCCTCCTGCAGAGGGACATGCCCGACTGAGGGGTGGCTCGAGAGGGATGCCGCCCCCCCGAGAAGGCAGGGCGTGGGGCTCCTCCGAGGGCAGGGGCCTCCCCGGCAAGGCCTCCGGGAGGCCTCCGATCGGACATCTTGCGCGGGACGCACTGGAGACAGAATGGCAACGTGTGAGCGGCGATCCACTCGGGCCGGGCGAAAGGGGGGGATAGCAAAGGGGGGGGGGGGAGAATCAGCTTACGTAGCTGACTTTCCCGGCGCCTCCCGGCGCCGAGGAGTGGGCCCCTCGGTGGGGCCGAAACCAACTGCATGCAGCAGATTTCGTACCCCCCCCTTTCCCTATCCCCCCCTGTCGTTCGGCCCGATCAACGGGTCTTACGCGAGATGGCATAGCGACCTTGCGCGGCGGCTTGCGCTGGCCGCCCGCGCGGCACGCTACCAGTGGAGACGAGGGCGCTTCCGCGCGAGCTCACGCGGGCAGCTTACGCACGAACGTCGGCGCCGACGACCCCGTTTGCTGGCGTCGCTCATAGGTCTTCCTTGGAGGCGCGCGTCCGACCCGAACATGTCGGTGGTTCGGGGGGGTGAGGTCGCAATGGAACGAAGACCCCCAACCGGGAAATCGTTTCGCTTCGCTCGTGTCGTGCGTGCGGGCGAGGCGAAGCTGCGTGGGCGCGCGAGAGGAATGAACCCGCCGTTGCTAGGGCGAAGTCAAGACGAATGATTCTCCCCGCCCGCCCGTCCGGCGGTGGCTCGCGGTGTCCCGCGGTGTCCCTGGGTGTCCAGTGGTGTCCTATGGTGTCCGCCGTTGCTAGGGCGAAATCAAGACAAATGATTCTCCCCCGCCCGCCCGTCCGTCCGTCTGGCGGTGGCTCGCGGTGTCCCGCGGTGTCCCGTGGTGTCCCGTGGTGTCCCGTGGTGTCCCGTAGTGTCCCGTTGAGTGAGATCGATAGTGAGATCAATAGTGAGATCGATAGTGAGATCGATAGTGAGATCGATAGTGATATCGATACTGAGATCGATGTGGTGCCACGAGGTGTCCCGTGGTGTCCCGTGGTGCCCCAAAAAGTGAAATCGATAGTGAGATCGATAGTGAGATCGGCAGGTGTCCCGAGGTGTCCCGTGGTGTGAGATCGATAGTAAGGTCGATAGTGAGATCGATAGTGAGATCGATGAGGTGTCCCGAAGTGTCCCGTGGTGTCCCGTGGTGTCCTATGGTGTCCCGTTGAGTGAGATCGATTGTGAGATCGATAGTGAGATCGATAGCGAGCCCAATAGTGAGATCGAGAGGTGTCCCGAAGTGTACCGTGGTGTCACGTGGTGTCCCGCTGAATGAGACCGATAATGAGATCGATAGTGAGATCGACAAGTGTCCCGTGGTGTCCCGTGGTGTCCCGTTGAGTGAGATCGATAGTGAGATCGATTGAGTCAGATGTTGGTTCCAAAGGGTGGCCGTATAGGTAGTATATCCATGTTGTAGTATATCGTCTCCCGAGCGGCGTGACCAGAAAGCGCCCGCCACGACGCATATACTATAGGATTTCTTGGTGCGCGCGGCTCCCCTGGGAAGGCGACGCCAATTGCAGGCCGAGAGGGGGCTCCTGAGGAGCCCCCTGCCTCCGCAGAAGCTACCCTTAGGTCGGGCCTCTCCCCCTACAGGGGGATCTGGGACGAAGAATTCAAAATACCTAACAAGTACCCCCAACATACTCCAAAATGGTCAAAAGATCGTCCCCATACTATCCTTTGACTATCTTTGAATACTCCCCCTGTAGAAGGACAGGCCCGACTTGAAGCTACCCCTGGAAGAACCCCCCAAAAAAACGGCATACGCAGAAACTCTCGACGCTCCGCACGGATGTCTCGGATCTGCGCCAGGCCCCCTGGCCTCGGCGCGCGGAGCGCGCCAGGGGGGCCCAGGCGCGGATCCGAGAGATCCGCGCGAAGCGCCCAAAGCTTATGCGTATGCCGTCGGTTCTTCCTCGGGCCTCGCCCCGCACCCTCGGCGGCAACTCACGGGAGCTTCCCATCTCCCATGCCATCTCGCTGGCTACTCCGCTGGTCGACGCGCATCGACACTGGTCGGCGCCAGTTCGACGCCAGTCGACGCCAAATCGGTGCAAGTCGACGCTGCATCGGCGCTCCCTCGTCGACGACCAGGCGCTAGCGTTATGCTGCTCCCATCGTACGTAAGGACCGCATCCCATAAATAATTTCGAGCACCCGGAAAAGTGTCGAAAGAGTGTCGGAAAAAAGTCGAAACAGTGTCGGACGAGTGTCTCCCAGGGCCCGACACGTGAAAACCCTCGCTTTTCGGTACTTCTTTGGGGGGGGCTCGAAATTCTTCCCCATGGTCAATGCTGAAGTAGGTTGGAACATCAGAGCGCTAGCGCACGCCGATGCACTCTGAAGACGGAACCGCGAAGACAGGCCCGATCCTCCATCGAGCCCCCCCCCGCCCCCCCGCCTCTCGGAGCACCGCCCCCCTCTCGGCCACCCCCCCCCCCGCGCGCGCCGCCGGGCTGGGCGCGCTGCCCCTGTCCAGGACGGCCTGGATCTCGGCCATGCTCGGGGAACGATCCACGGCACGAGCACATAAACTTTTAGAGGTCGACGCGGAGTTCTCGGGTCGGCGCCGGGCCCCCCCCCCGGAGCGCGCGCCAGGGGCGGCGCCGGCAGCGCCGCGCCGCCAAGGGGGCTCCAGCGCGGATCCAAGAAACGCTTTACCAGCCTCGAACTTATCCCTTTCCTTAAGATTGACACGCCAAAAGGCGATGACAGTCTTGGGGTTGCGCCCTCAAAAGATAAGGGAATCCCTAAGGTTGGCATCGTGATGAGGAGATGCCCAGCATAGGGATAGGGATGTGTTCCAGGCTGGTAAACTCTGGCGGGCCTGCGAAAGTTCGGGCTCGTCCCAGCAACCGTTCCCCGAGATGTCGCCCCCGTCCAGCGACGCCTCGCCGCGCAGCAGCGCCGCGTGCTCGGGCAGGTGGCGGTCGTCCCGCACGCCGAGGATCAGCGAGCCGCCCGCGCCCAGCTCGTCCATGCGCCGCAGCGCCCAGGCGCAGGCCACGGCGGCTATGCCGAGCGGCGGCTGCTTGCGCGCGCCCACGGCCTCGAGGGTGCGGAGGAGGGACTGGAAGAGCTCCCAATCCCCGGTCCACCTCTCCAAGCTGCTCCAGTACACGCGCCGGGCGCCGCCAGGAGTGCCCTGGGCCCTATACAGAACCTGCAATGTGATGCTTCGCTCGTGGTGTGTTTGGTGTGGCAGTTGTTTGCGACGCCACCACCAAACTAAACAATGCGAACACAATGTTCTTTCGCGGGCGAGTGATTGTTATGCCAGCCCCTTGCCGAATCTCGATAGAGAACCAGTGGCGCCTTTGCCAAAGTCCGCCGAACCCCGCTTGGCGTGGGTGCAGAGGCGTGTGAGACACTTGGCTGCCCCCCCTCCACCTTTCCCCCTCCCCCAGGGCCCCAACTCTAATTTAAAGGGAAGGAGGGAGGGAGGGGGGGGGGGGGGGGCGATGGGGGAGGAAGGGACTAGCTCGCCAACGCCACCCTGGGGTGGGCCTCCAACAAGCCCTACGACAGTCCAAGAGAGCCGAAACAGAGCGCCAAGACAGTCCCAGAGAGTGTCGAGACGACCGCAGGTAGCCCCCCGACGGTCAAAGATAGCTTCGGAGCCGACCGACGAGGCTTCCAAGACGGCCCATGCGTTTTCTCAAAAGGACCGCCGAGGAAGGCCCTAAGAAGCAAACATCGCCCTGTTCCCACAGGAGGTCCATGTATGGCCTACTCGCATTCTTCGTCTTGAAACCGTGCAAGACGGCGCAAACGGCCCCCAAGATCGTCCCAAGAAGGCCCATGAGGCCCCCCAGAAGCCCCCCAAGACGGCCCAAAGAGCCGCCCAAGATCACCCCAAGAGGCACCGAAGAGACCTCAAGAGGGGTCCAACACATGAGCTGGATTGAATCGAGAGATCGATTTGGATCGGAAACGGGTCGGATCGCCAGCGAATCGTCCTGCATCGGATCGAAATCGGATCGCGGCGCCAGGCTGCGGCAACACAAGCCGATGCTGGTGAAACGGACCGAATCGAATCGAATCGGAATCGCGGCCCCAGCTGGCGAATCGAATCGCATCGCATCGAATCGTAGGAAGCTCTGCAAGAGGCCCCCAAGCAAACCCAAAAAACTCTCCAAATGTTCCGAGAGGACCCCACCCTCCTGGTCCTCGCCCTCTTCCCCCTCCACATCCCTCTCCGGCTTTCTTCCCAACCGCTCTGTCAAATCCCACCAGCCTTTTGGGCGACAGGTGGGCTAACGAGATTCCGCACCTCTTCCCCTACGGGGAGGGGGAGGGGTGTACCCCTGCCCTTACCCCTCCCCTGGACTTTTTTGGGAGGGTCCGCGAGGTGTCAGGGCGTCCAAAACGGCCTCGGCGAGGAAGCCAAAATCACTAGTTTTACTTACAGAAAAGTTGTGACCCCATGTTGGCCTTCTGGGGGGGGCCGAACGTGGCCCCACCAACCCTCTGGGCGCCAAAACCATTGGTTTCACTTCAGTTAGGCCTCTTTGGGAGGGAACTGAACGTTCTCCCACCAGCTCTCTGAGAGCCAAAATCATTGGTTTTACTAAGGTTTTGGCCCCATTTCGGCCTCTTTCTCTCCTTTGATCGATGGCCTTCAAGATGGCCCAAAGAGGCCTCCCATGGCTTCCAAGAGGGCCCCAAGAGAGCCCCAAGAGTGCCCCAAGACGGCCCCAGCATGGCCCCAGAGGCCTCCAAGACGCCCAAGATGGCCTCCAAGCCGGCTAAGATGGCCCCGACGGCCGAAGATGCACCCAAGACGGCCTGAGATGGCCTCCAGATGGCCTAAGACGGCCCAAGAATCCCCCAAGAGGCCTCCAAGAGGTCCTCCAGGAGGGCCCGCAGAGGCCAAAAGCATTGACGTGCCTAAGGTTTTTGACAGAGTTTGGCATTTGCTTCTTTTCGGCATTCCGACTGATCAAGACGGCCCAAGAGCCCCCCAGGATCGCCCACGAGACCTCCAATATGGCCCCATGACGGCCCAAGAGGCCCCCAAGACGGCCCCAAGAGGGCCTAAGAGGCCTCCAAGACTGCCAGAATGGCCTCCAAGACGGCTAAGATGGCCCCAAGATGCCTCCAAGACGGCCCAAGATGCCCCCAAGACGGCCTAAGATGGCCTCAAGATGGCGCAAGACTGCCCAAGAGGCCGCCAAGGGGCCTCCAAGACGGCCAAGAAGGCGTCCAGGAGGTCTACCAGGAGGGCACGAAGAGGCCAAAATCATGGATGTTCCGAAGGTTTTTGCCAGATTTTAGCATTTGTTTCTTTTCGGCATTCCGACGGCTCAAGACGGCGCAAGAGGCCCCCAAGATCGCCCAAGAGGCCTCCAAGATGGCCCCATGACGACCCAAAAGGCCCCAAGACGGCCCCAACGAGGCACCCAAACGGCCCAAGAGGCCTCCAAGACGCCAAAAATGGCCTCTAAGAACCCCTGATATGCCCCAAGAAGGCCCCAAGACGGCCCAGACAGGCCCCCAAGACTGCTTCCGACGGCGTCAAACATGCCAGGAACGCCCTAAGACGGCCAAAGAGGCCCTCACGAAGCCCACAAAGGCTTCCAAAAACCTCCAAGAGGCCCACAGGAAACTCCCAGGATGCCTCGAGAGTGCCCCAAGAGGCGCCCAAGAGGCCTCCTCCTCCTCCCTCCTCCTCTCCTCCTCCTCCTCCCTCCTCCTCCTCCTCCTCCCGTTCCTCCTCCTCCTCCCTTTCCTCCTCCTCCCTCCTCCTTCCTCCTCCCTTTCCTCCTCCTCCCTTTCCTCCTCCTCCCTTTCCTCCTCCTCCTCCTCCTCCTCCTCCTCCTCCTCCTCCTCCTCTCCTCCTCCCCCTCCTCTTCCCATCGCCCCCACGCGGCCCCCAGGGATAGCCCGAAGAGGCCTTCCAAGGTCACCCCCTTGCTCCCAGAGATCTCTCGGCTCATCCTGGTTGCTCGCTGTGTTTCCCTAGATATATCCCTTCGTCCTTTTTCCTGTCAGCACTCGTGGGCAGGGCTTCTGAATGAGCGTAAAGAATTATTTCCTGGGGGTCGGTGGAGTGGCGTAAACCTTTGGAATAAAGATCACAAGTTTTAGTACTCCGCATCCAGGGCATTTTGAGGTGGCACCGTCGCAAAATGCAAAATAATTCATTTGCGGCACTAAAAGCTTGACAATAGGTGCGCCGGGGACCTCAAGCAGGGCCAAAGCGGTTTCCAGAGCATCCCTCACGATGCCCATGGAAACCAAAAATCGGCGGCACGACCGGGGGGGAAGTGAAAAGGGGCGGGCCTTCTCAGAAGGCTCGGACGTCCCCTGGCCTTTTGAAAAGCTTCCTCCGCGTTCCCCGAAGACACAGAGAACCTGTTTTCCGGAAGGCGCGAGGGTTTCTGAGAAGGCCCGCTGCTTTCCGCGAGCAGGCTTTTTCCTTCGCATTTCCCCCCTTCGCTCGCCGCCGAAGACAGCTCCAAAGATCGAACGAAAGCCTAGGGACACATGTTGGCCCGCTGGGGCGGAGAATATTGGACGAAAAACAAAAAAAAACTTACTCCGACGGCAGGACCCCGCACAATAATCAAATTAGCGTGTTCCTCGCCCTTTTTTTCTTCGACTGGCGGAGGCCTTCCTTCCGCCCTTTGCGTTCTCCTCTTCCTCCTCCTCCTCCTCCTCCTCCTCCTCCTCCTCCTCCTCCTCCCCTTCCTCCTTGTCATCCGTTTCCTCCTCCTCCTCCTGTTCATTCTCGTCCTGCTCGTTGCAGGTCGTATCCTTTTTCTCTTCCGCCTCCTCCTTTTCCTCCTCTTCCTCCTCGTCCTCCGCCTCCTCCTTTCCCTCCCCCTCCTCCTCATGTGATTTCTCTTCTTCGTCCTTTTCTTCCTCCTCCTTCACCTCCCCTCTTCCTCCCCCTCCTCATCTCCGTCCCGCCTGTTCTCCTCGTGCACCTATCCTTGCTCCTGGCAGGAGCGCGCTCGTCGGTTTTCCTCGGCGCCGTCGCCGCCTCGGCCAGCACGGGCGCATTCTCTAATGGCCGCATCGCGCAGCCGTTGGGACAACCCCGCCTGATACTCCCCCATATTCGGGCTTCAGGAGCCCAAACATGACGACAGCTGCAGGGTTCCGATGGCCTGCTCGGATTAATAACATGAGCTGCGGGCCCTATAGGGAGGGGGGCTCCAGACTGAGACTTCCGCGCAATTCACTCACAGACGAGGCTCCCGCCTCAGACTTCCGCCATACTCAAGTTTGAAGCTTGGAAAGCCCCAGAATGACGACACTTACATGATTCCGATGGCCAGTTCGGATTAATAACATGAGCTGCAGGCCCCATGGAGGGAGGGGGGCGCCTGAGACTTCCTGGCAATTCACCGACAAACGAAGCTCCCGCCTCAAACTTCCGCCACACTCAAGCTTGAAGAACCAAAAAGTGACGGCACGTGCATGATTCCGATGGCCCGCTCGGATAGATAACGTGAGCTGCGATCCCCATTGGGAGGGGGCTCCCGCCTGAGATTTCCTCACAATTCACTCACAGACGAGGATCCCGCATCAGACTTCCGCCATACTCAAGCCTGAAGAGGTCAGAAGTGACGACCCTTACATGATTCCGATGACCTGCTCGGGTTAGTAACATGGGCTGCGGGCCCCAGAGGGCCCCCCGCCTGAGACTGCCTCGCAAGTCACTCACAGACGAGGCTCCCGCCTGAGACTTCCGCCATACTCAAGCCTGAAGAGGCCAACATCACGACACATATAAGATGCCGATGACCCGCGCGGATGAATAACATGAGCTGCAGGCCCCATAGGGAAGGGGGCTCCCGCCAGAGACTTCCTTGCAGTTCACTCACAGACGAGGTTCCCGCCTGAGACTTCCACCACACTCAAGCTTGAAGTGTGTATGGGGTTGAAGTACAAGGGTGCAGAACCCCTGATCCGTTGGTAGAGGGAAGGAGAGATAGATGGATGTCGTTCCCTCCTGCACGATCAAAGGTCTGATCGATCTGTCCCAATACCTGAGCCCAAACGGCCAGGCGCAGGAGAGGTGAGGATAAGGAGTATATATGAGGGTACTACACGGGTTCTAGTCACACACCCCGTCCCGAATCCCGCC